TATTTCATATGCCAAGGGAATCCCATGCCACAAAAGAGAGCTCAGCAATTGGGTTGCACAAACATCCAAATTCTATTAATTTTGCATATTAATGGTGGAAAATTTTGCAATTAATTTCACAAAAATCAAATTCAGTTCTTTCCACCAAAAGCACAGCTTTTTTCAAAACCAGACAGCATGAATGGTGGTGCAGGAATAGAACCCAGAATTTCCACATGCTTTGTGAAAATAGGCATTGCATGTGATACACGGATTTCCCACCCCTGCCAGTCAAATATACTTTAAGTTCTAGAAAGTTTAGTGTGATGTTTTTCAAAGTAAAAATTGCACTACATTCAGAAAAGCTGCCCCAAGTTCAACACTGGGGAGTCAACAAATAACATTGAACCTTCAGAGATTCCTTTTTTCCCCCTTATGATTGAATACAAATAACTGTTAATTCTACTAGTGATTACAATCATTATTTACCAAGATCACAGATAGATACCCACAGAGAAGGCAAGAAAAGCCCCTAACCAAAAAAACTTTACCTTCTAAATATGATCAAGGTACCAACCCAGATAATGCGTTTCTGCCCACAAAGAAGTAAAAATGAATAAAAAGTGTTAAGGTTTATTTTATTACTTGATAATAACATCTGTTCTTAAGTGGAATAGCTCCATTTATCTTAAAATCTTACCAAAAAAATTGTTAACAAAACAAAAAAGGGCCAAAGTATAAAATCAGAACATCTTAATTAAGAGTGTTCCTCAGTCTCTCCCTAGTGACATCAGAGTAAATACGCTGGGATTGCTCAGCTTCCACAGGAAGGAAGTGGGTTTCGATGGTGTCACTAGCATTGGATTAGACAAAACTGCATGAGCACTTAGCCTTCAGGACACCAGAAGGAGTTAAGGAAAAGAGAGAATTTCCCCCACAACTGTGGGAAAAACTAGTAAGAATCAACAAGGGACAGAAAAATTCTTTGTTGTGTATTGTTCACTAAATATTCCAAGAAAGAACACAGCATAGTCAGAACTTTTTTTTTTTTTTTTAAACTCCTGGACAAAAGGTCATGGAATGTTCTCGTACCAATCGCCTTATTGCTGAATCCCAGCTTGGGCTCAGTTCTGAAGAGAGGTGCCAGCATGCAGCCATGCCAGCATGAGCGTGTGGTTGTAGATCTCATTTCATCTTATATATTTTGTTCTTTATTTTTATTTTTTGCAAGGAGATAGGACTAGGGCATGAATTTAATTTTCTGACATTTGCAGCACTCAAAGGCTCTAGCTTAATGAGTGGATCTTGAATGCATAAAGTCCTGTATCAAGAAACCCTAAGATTGTCCACAATGTATCATATCCACACACACCCAGAAAAACAGGGAGCCACAGAGCTCTCTGAGGAGAGAGATCCAGACTAAATAAGAACAGATGAGACATGACCCACATACTCAAATCCAGCCTTTTAAACAAAAAGTCATAATTAACCTTGGAAGTCAATACTAATTAAACTTACCAGTGAGATTAATGTAACAGCATCTGAGGCCCTTTTCAGAAATATTTTAAAAGAATCTCTAAGCACATGAAAAGCAATGCTTCCACAAATTAGCATAGAACAGTTATATTTACTAAATTAGACAAAAAATGAATAGATGAATCATCCTATGATTATCTTAACTAGCTGGAGGCTGATGGAAAAGAATAGCTAGTTGGTTTTGTGGATGGCATCCACATTTCTACAGCCAGACACCACCTTTTAAACAATGGCCAGAAAGGCAAGTCAAAGGAAACAAAAAAAAAGGTGGATAATTTGTACATATCAGAGCAAAAATGTCAAGCATGTGGGCTTTTGATGATGAAATGATAACACTGTCTTTATACAGTAGAGAGAGCGTGTTCAGGACTTGCTTCCTGGCACAGACAGAAGTCTCCCATCTAGAGGTGGTATTATTTTTTATACAGTTATTGCAAGACATAAAATCACTCTTAAAATCCATTAATAGAGAGTTTTCCAAATACAAAAATAATTATGGAATCCTACCAAAATTGGAGCTACACTTACTTTTTGGTCATCCAGTGCCTGATAAGACTCAATACATTTTCAGCGATTGAATAAATACACCTGAAGACAGATAAAACATCTTTTCTCAAATAGTTGAAATCAGTGCCACTCAACAAAAAAGACATATTGAGCACATATTATAAGACACATACTATGTTAAGCATCAGAATAAGAACTTATTAAATAGAAGATAGTGACAAGAAGAATTCCATTAGGTTTTTTTTTTTTATTTTAAAGAGATCTATATGGTTTTGAATATCCAGAGTATAGGTTTAAAAATAAGCTAATCAGGACAGTGCCTGTGGCTCAAAGGAGTAGGGTGCTGGTCCCATATACTGGAGGCGGTGGGCTCAAAACCAGCCCCGACCAAAATAAAAAAAACTGCAAAAAAAAAAAAACACCACTAATCACTTAACCACATGGATACATGGCATCATGTAAGTGAAATCTTACAGTTAACTGAGTTGTTCAGGATTCAGTTGGATAACAACATTTTCAAATAATGGACACAATACTAAACATATGAATAATTAGAAATATATTCAACTAAAAACTTTGCTTTTGTCCTACATGTGTGGCATCCAGTAAGTAGTCACCGTAAGAAGTCAGTCTTTAAAATCGATGAGTTCACATCTGCATGTCTGGAGAAATAATAAGGCAAATTGCAACATGAGGGTATTTTCAACTGTTCTGAAAGTTGGTTACTGAAGGGCACCACAATAAAACCAGTAGATGGCTCTGAACACAGAGAAAAAGAGAAGAAGACAAATCAGAAGAGAAGATAGGAAACTAAGCTAAAAAGAGAAGCCACTGGAGGAAAACTATGAGGGTAAAAACACCCACAACAGGAGGGCCAAAGGGGAAGAAACGGTCACAGAAGAGGGCTCCATGTCTGACCTGAGCAGCCAGCAGAAACAGTCACGACCTAAGCCAGAAGCATAAGAAGAGAACAGAAGGTGGGCCACCTAGAATGGAGACGAGCCATTGCCACTCTGCAGAGATGGGCAGCTTTGCAGTGGAAAGCAAGAAACATGATTTAAAAATTCTTCAGACACATATGTCCAAATGGCAAAAAATTGTATGGGAATACAAAATAGTAATGAAAAACTCTGAGAGTAGTCTCAGCTACCACAGTTCTCCTCCTTGCCTCTGTTCTCCACAAGCTCCCAAATCCAGTGACAATGATGAGAGACTCTGGGATCGAAAGGGCTATGCAAACCTGAGAAAGCAGCCAGGGATTCTGCAAACTGAATCTCTGCAGATACCACAGCACTTCACTCTAGTCTCCAAGGCCAGGGGACACTCTAAAAGATTCAGGTAAATGACATTCCCCAGTCAAGGTAGAGTGCGGAAACAAAGCAAGAGGCAAGGGAAGAAACTTGAAAAAAATGCCCAATAATGTGGCCTCCCAGATTCAATCCACAGCAGCCAACTAGCAACTTTTGGTGGAGGAAGGGAAAAAAATATCATTATGCTCTTGTGCACTGAGAGATCACTTGATGTTAAGTTTCAGGGCAATTAAAAAAAAAGGATTTAGCTGGGTGTAGTGGCTCATTCCTATAACCCTAACACTTTGAGATGCTGAGGTGGGTGGATTGCTTGAGCTCAGGAGTTTGAGACCAACCTGAGCAAGAGCCAGACTCCTTCTCTAAAAAAAACCTTGTCAGCTGTTGTAGCGGGGTCCCAGCTTTTCAGGAGGCTGAAGCAAGAGGATAGCCTGAGCCCAAGAGTTTGAGGTTGCTGGGAGGTATAACACTATGGCACTTTACTCAGGCTGACAGAGTGAGACTGTTTCCAAAAAAAGAAAGTAAAAAAAGATTTACTATTATAAAGCAACCCTGAGAAAGTATAAAATTATTATAGAATATTCTTATTCTGTACATATGTACAGAGAAGAGTACAAACGCAACATTTCACTTTTATAAGAAGATAATTATTATTCATGCTGAGGGGAAAAGAGGAGACAGAAGTTTTAAAGACTGGCTCAGGTAAGAAAAAAAATTATCAAGCCGGGGTGGTGTCTGTGCCTCAGGGAGGAGGGCACTGGTCCTATATACTGAGGGTGGAGGGTTTGAACCTGGCCCTGGCCAATAACTGCAACAACAAAAATAAATAAATGAAACAAAAAACATTTATCAAGCCAGAGACCACATACCTTCTAACATCCTATCCCAGGTCTCTGGACAGGATTCAGAGAGCTCTATTTGAATAAGATCTGGCCATATCCCCTCATTAAAAGAAAGGACTAGTGTAGCAGCCCAGAAGTTTGTAACTGCCCCCAGACTGGCTGGACACATAAAGGAAGGGTGTAAAGTTCTCCGGACTGACAAGTACTTGGGGGTGATGGGTGGTGGGAGTCCCTAAGCCTCGAGAATGGCATTTGGAGTTCAAAGCTGAAGACCTCATGAAATGGGCTTAAAACGGGGTAAAACGGCGACAATGTACTTTAAAATACCCTGTCCCCACCCCTGCACAGTCACCAGGACGGGTCGCTTTACCTGTCCCGTCAAGGTCTCCTGCAGGATGTTTTAAAGTTTCCAGCACTCCGAGCCTAGTTCCGCACTTACGACAAGAACCCCTGGGAGTGCAAGGCGATTTCAGGGACCCCTCAGCGTACACGGAGGAGAGGGGTGCCCAAGATGCCCCCAGAACAAGGATGACTAAAAGGTCCTACGCGGAGTCGCTGTGCCAGGCGCTCCCCCAGCTCCCGGCCCCCGACATCCCGGGCAGAGCTGGGCGCAGGAGGCGAGGCGCCCCCGGAGGAAGAGGGTGGGTGGCTGCAGCCCCTGCCCAGGGCCCCCATCTCCTCCTCCGAGCGGTGCAGCGCGGCCTCTGGGCAGCTGCGCACAGCTGGACGCGGCCCTCGGAGCCCCCGCTCTGCTCGGTCCCCTGGTCCCAGCGCCCCGGCCGCCCCTCGCCCGCGGTCCCTCCGAGGGGCAGGAGACTTGGCAACTTACGGGGACTGCGCTAGGGCGCCGAGAAGGCGGCGGGGGGGCAAGCGGCTGGAGCGAGTCGGGCGCCCGGGCTCGGGGAGGCTGGAGGAGCGGCGGCCGCCGACCTGGTCCGCGCGGGAAGACGAGCGCCGGACAGCGAGCTGCAGAAGGCGGGCTGGGCACGTGGGCGCCCCTCTGTGTAGCCGCCCGGGCCGGGGGCCGGGGGCGGGGCTTGTAGGGGCGGGGCTTCCTCCTCCCCGCCTCCCACCCGCGGCACCGTCCAATCCCAGAGGTGGGCGGTGTCCGGCCGCTGCGCCGCGGGTCTGTAGCCAGCCTGAGCGTGGGCGCCCCGGGGCGTGCGCTACCCCGGGATCTACCTTTGGGCGCCAGCCTGGGGAAGCCGCCTAGCAGCAGGCGAGGGAGAGTTCTTGATTTCCTTGGAGTCTCTAAAACAGAGTTCTTCGAAGTGGGGTTTTGATCCCACCTTAATTTTTCACTCTAGAAATTTGGAAATAATAAAATAATAAAATATAATAATCATCATTAATAGAGGCCCCGATTGGTATGCTTTTTCCTATAGAAGACTAAAGTTTATAAACAATGTGCAGTAACGTGAATAGGGAATTACGATTATTTAGGGGAGACTTTAGGAGAAAATGACATTCGCTCTTTCCAGGGGAGTGAGAGCAGAAGTTACACAACCAAGGTTTCTCATACTGTGCTATTGTTTACTTTAGGAATCCCTGATAAGATTAAAGTCACAATGTGAAACTCTGTTAATTTTAATCCAAAATGAAGCAAAACACTGGCAGTGAATTGAATAATAAGTGTATATTATTGTCTGCCAGAAGCCTCTACCTTATTTTCTTGATATTGGGCTAAACGTCCCTTTATCTGCTTATAACTCATAAGTTTGGCACAATGCCACAACAGAGCACATATATAGAATGGGATGTTCTAAATCGTTCCTAATTTCAAGACATGTTTTCCTGAGAGAATCTAAAAAATGGTGTGAAGCTTCACTCCAGAAAATGGTACTGGCACAAAATTTCAATTACTGTTTCCAGAGTTCAAGTACCTCATGAAGCCATCCATTGAGCCCGTTAAACAACTGAAGGTTTAAGTAACAACCGATTACGAAGGTATTATCTGATAGAGTAATAGAAACTCTATCCATGTTAAACAGATCACAAGGGAAATAAAGAATGTGGACTCCGGCAGCGCCTGTGGCTCAAAGGAGTAGGCGCTGGCCCCATATACCCCAGGCGCTGGGTTCAAACCCTCACCCAGCCAGAAACTGCAAGAATGTGGGCTCAATCTAAATTCCCCATCAATTCCAAAGCTCGGAGGCATTGTACAGTGGGTGAAGACTCAATACTCAGATGTTTCATCTGATTTCAGGGCAAGGGATCTGATGTAAATATTTTCCCTTTTTTTTTTTTTAACACAGATTCCTATTTTTAATCTTAAATGATTATTTCCCCATACATTTTTATTTAAACTCCCTGCATTTAAATCTGTGTTTAATCTGTGATTAGGTTGGAGAGCAATGATTGGGGATAAACAAATCTATCTGCCATTTAGAAACTGCCAATTTAGTCAGAATACCTCTTTGGTTTATCTAATCTGCTCATCTGAGCACTCCCCAAGACAAGAACACACTATGTCCACCTGCGTGAATAATTAACGCTATTTCATCTCTAAGCAAAAATGAGCAAATCCTTTCTAGCAACTTTTTAACAAGTTTGCTGAATATCTTGACGTACTACTCTTTAACTTAATATATTCCATTTTGTATTCAAAATTATTAACCCTCAACCCTGTATCACATCTCTGGTTGTTTCGTGACTTTTAAAATGTGTTTAGATGAGGAAGGCAGAAGATGGCCACAGATTTAGTATGACTCTCTAAGATGGACTATGAGAAGGGAGAATAGAATTTTTAGAAATAAAATGAAACAGGTTAAACTATTTTGACTTCATTTTAGTTTGCATTTCCTTTTGCTGCCTGGAATGGAATATCTTCGCCCTAGTTGAGTAATGTTTCACCCACCTCCTTGTACCTCACCCTCCCTGGCATACTTTTTTTTTTTTTTTTTTTTTTTTTGCAGTTTTTGCTGGGTCTGAGGTTTGAACCTGCCACTTCTGTTATATGGGGCTAGTGCCCTACTCCTTGAGCCACAGGCCCACCCACCCTTCCTGGCATACCGCAATCACTTTTCACTTCCATCTGTCAAGTTTCCTCTTCAGGAATGAAACAGAAAATCCAGCTTAGTCATTTTCAGCAGACACAAAAATGCAGGTCCCGAGTTGTTATCTTCCCAAGATTTCACAAACTTAGGGTGTGTGTCTGAACTCCTAAGGTTTTATGAAATTGCAGGGAATTTCAAGGGACTTTTGTAGTTGAATAAATTCCATACCCTACCTCCCACATTTGCCAATACAGCCCAAAGTAAATCTCATGTCCACAAACAAGGGATTTATTTTAACTGTCAAAACTGTATGAGTTGATTCTTATTAGTTCTAATTTGTGACTCTATTATCCCCAAGCTATTTCAGCAAAGACAAAGCTTAAATCCTTCCATTTCTTTTTTCAAATTGTTGGATCCTGGATACTGATGTTTCTACTATAATTGGTTAGGCTAGAAAAAGAGCAAGGATTGGACCAGAGATTAGGCCACTAGAGTTTCAAGGATTTTCAGGCCACTGCTGTTCTCCATTCCTCTCTCAAAAATGTGTAAAAAAAAAAAAAAAAAAAAAATTAAAGGCAACTTTCCAATGGACACATTCCGTATTTGCCCATTTCTTAAGGTAAGCAATAAAATACTAAAAAAAGGTCAGAAAAACTACAATAAGTCCTTGCAATGATAAGTTATCTTTTAAAATCATATTTTTCTGCTTATCTTTTTAAACTAAGACCAAATGATGGTTTCACAATGGTTTTTAGTCTCACACTGCTCTTCCTACAAACTTCCCTGCCTCCTGTCCCTTAGCTTCATTCTGGCTTTTCTTTACGTTGGCCATCGGTCAAGAATTGCCCAGGGCTCCACCCTCCCTGTGCTGGTCTCTGTTTCCTTCTGCCAGGATTTCTTCTGGGAATGTATCTGCTGGAAAAAATCAACTTTCTGAGTCCAAACATCTTCACTTAGCCTGTTGTTCTAAGGACTGAAAACCAGGAATTTAGAAGAGAGCTCAGCTAATGTAAATACTCTTTTTTTGCTTCAGCCTGACCAAGGTCCTAATGGCTCCAGTGATCTCTTTATAACCATGTCCAATTGACCTTTTTCAGTTCTCATGTGTTTCAAATTCTCTCCTACCTTCTATTCCTTTCTTTCTTGAAATTGTCTCTCTTGGTTTCCATGATCTCTTAGCTTTCCTCCTATGATCCTGATAATTCTTAATCCTGTTTGCTAACTCTTGCACTCTTAAGATTAAATTGTTGAATCATTCTTATCTTCATCAACCTGCACAGTCTTCATTGTTATCCATTTTTAAGACTCAACCAATGCAAAGGCATCAATCCCCAAAGCTACCGTCTAGGTCTCATCCCTCATCCTTGCTCTGAGTTGTGTCTCTGCTGAGATTATTGTACAATCACCTGAAACCGTAGAGTTGAAACCAAGTTTCATCTTTCTTAGCCTGGCATTTCTCTCCTACTTCCTCCCTACCAATCTCCCGGTATTTCAGATTTAAAATTTATTGTTTGTTTCTTTTGCTTGTTTATGTTCCATCAATGGCAAAGTTCTGCTGCTATTCTTCCATTTATTCTTTAATCACAGAAATACCCCTGTCTTTTAATTTCTGTGAATTCACCTCCTTAATCTTGATTCTCATTATGTTCAGATATGTTATTACAGTCTTCTGAAAAACTTATGGTATCTTCTGGTTGATAAGTTTAGCTTGTAGAATCAAACTAAAGTCCTTCCATAATATAAAGTCTCCATTATCTGAATTAGTACTTTTAAAAATTTTTTTTGGCCAGGGCTGGGTTTGAACTCACCACCTGTGGCATATGGGGCTGGCACCTTACTCCTTGAGCCACAGGCGCTGCCCGTTACATTTTTTTAATCTAGTATTTAGACCTGTATGGTAGCCTCTAGCCACACATGGTTCTTAAGCACTTGAGATGTGGCTAGTCCAAATTGAGAAGGGCTAAAGTATACATATATATATATATATAAAAAAAAAAACCTCTGGATTTCAAAGACTTAGTACAATCAAAATCATGTAAAAATACCCCATTATAATTTCTTCAAGTGATTACATGTTGAAATAATGCTTTGGATATATTGGACAAGTAATATATATAATTATAATTAATCTCACCTATTTCTTTTTACTTTTTGTCAATGTAACAGCTAGAAAAATTACAAATGTGGCTCATCTTATGTTTTTATTAGACAGTGCTGACTTAAGACAATAAAAAAAGTCCATTCTTGGTTAGACACTATGTAACAGATGAGAACAAATTAAAAACAAACAAATAAACAAGAGTAATCCTGCTTCAGCCCACCCTTCACAACCCAGCTAGGGAGGTAAGATATAGAAAATCAGTTATTGTTACAACCAGTTAACAAACACCAAAAGAAGAAAACGAGCCCTGTGGGAGCTTAAAGGAGAGAGGCAGTGTAGAAGGCCTTTATGAAGAGGTGGAATTTCAAAAGACCCTGGATGAGGGTGAATACAGAGGCTCATGCCTATAATCCCAGCTATCTAAGAAGGGTGGAAGGATCCCTCGAGTCGGATGTCCAAGACCTCTTTGGACAACACAGTGAGACTTACCTCATCTCTACGAAAAAGAAAAAATAGCTAGGCATTATGGCCCATGACTAGTCCCACGTACTAGGGAGGCTGAGGTGGGAGGATCACTTGAACCCAAGAGTTTAAGACTGCAATGACCTGTGATCACAGCACTGCATTCCAGCCTGGGCAATAGGGTGAAACCCTATCTCCAACAAAATTAAAACAAAATTCTGGAAGCATAGATAGAATTTTTTTCTGAAGTTGTGGGAGTAGAAAGGTATTCTGGACAGAGGAAATGGGACAGCCCTGAACAGGCCTGTGATACACTTTGGGATATGAGGTGTAGACCAAATGTATCAGGTGACAAATGGGTCTCTCCATGTCCCATGCCTCTGCGCGTTCAGTCACCCC